AAGTTTAAAATAACAATAAATTAACAAGTTTTAATATAAATAAAATTATAATTCAACCAATTAAATAAAATTAACCTAATTAATTTATTAAATATAAATCAAATTAACTTAATTAATTTTAATTCTAACCAAATTAAAATTTAAAAAAATTTAACAAGTTTTAAGATAAATAAATTTCTAATTTAACAAATTAAACAAAGTTATCCTAATTAATTAATTAAAAATCAAATTAAGTTAATTAATTCTAATTCTAACTAAATTAAATTTTAAATAACAATAAACTAACAAGTTTTAATATAAATAAAGTTATAATTCAACAAATTAAACAAAATTAACCTAATTAATTAATTAAGTATAAATAAATTAACTTAATTAATTCTAATTCTAACCAAATTAAATTTAAAATAAAAATTAATTAAAAAAATTTAATATAAATAAAATTATAATTAAACCAATTAAAAAAATAACATAATTGATTTATTAATTATAAATCAAATTAACTTAATTAATTCTAATTATAACCAAATTAAATTTAAAATAAGAATTAATTAACAATTTATAATATAAATAAAATTATATTTCAACCAATAAAAAAGTTAACCTAGTTAATTAATTATAAATAAAATTAACTTAATTAATTTAAAATAATAATTAAATTAACTTAATTAAGAAAAACTAAGAAATTAATTAACAAATTTATTCTTATTCAACCAATTAAAAAAATAACCTAACTAATTAACTAAATATAAATAAATTAACTTAATTAATTAAAAATCAATTCTGATTAAATTAAATTATAATTAATTATCAAATTTACCTAACAATTAACCAAATTTAACAAATTAATCGACAAATTAACCTAGCAATTAACAATTTAACTAATAAATCAACAAAATAATAATTAAATATATATAAAATTATAAATCAACCAATTAAACTTAAAATTAACCTAACAATTATAATAAATTACTAACTTTGATTAATAAAATAAAAGAAAGAAAAACTTACAATTCGGGTGGAATTACACCAAGACGAGAAAAGGGAAAACAGGTTTGTTGGGAGAAAAGAGTTTGAAGTGAGTAAGGATTGATTGAGAGAGGAGGAGTGGAGTTTGGTGGTGGTTTGGAAAGGAGGGAGACCGACAACTGTTGGTTGGATAAGAAGAGTAGAAGAAAATGAGAGAGGAGGAAGAAGAAAGGAGTTTAATTAGGGATTGCAAAATAGCGACAAATACAATCCCCTCGTGGATCCGTCGCTATTTAGCGACCGACACTTACCTAGGGAAAATAGGTAGCTAATTTATTACACTTGGCCAACCATTTTTTTATTTGTAGTAAAGAACGTAAGTTTCCTTCTCTAATCCGTTGCTAATTTGACGGTTTTGACTTTCAAAAAGTCCAACAAATTTTTTACCTTTAGTGACGGATGTTCCTATCGCTAATTTGCGAGGGATGTTTATTTTAGCTATAGATATTCCATTGTTAAATTCAAACATTAAAAATAGCAACAAATAAGCTATTTCATCACTATTTTCCCTCATAAATCCATAGTCTCTAAAACTCCCATGAATATTTTGCCATCAAATTTAACGACGAATTGGTTTTCGTCGCTAATGAACGATTACTAATTCATCTATATTCTATCGCTGGTTCTAATAGACGTTATTCTGTTAATATTTACTCGTTATTTAGAGATAAAAATTGATCCATTGCCAATTTCCTTTACTATTTGATAGTTTTTTTTTGTAGCGGAGGGATGAATTATTTATCTAGGCTACATGTGGTCATGTCCTAATTAAGTAGGAAGCCTGAAATCTTGTGAGGACTAATGAATTAGACCAAGTCTATGTAATTAAAAATAACCCAAATAAATAAAAGACAGTAAAATAGATCGACAGAGGAGTTGAAAGTTTCGATTATTATGAAAATCCAAACTTTCGGTCAAATGGAAGGAGGTGCTTCCACGTCACTTAATTTGATGGAAAAAATAATTCGGAAAAATTGAGGTAGAAAGTGACCGACAAGAAAGAGGATTTGTCAGAATTGGAAGAAGAGTCTATTTCCTAGCTAGGCTTTGATATCAAGTTAGAAAACACGGCTTGGAGAGAATTTCTCTGATACGTTATTCATTGACCATAGTTGTCGAAATATACATTTATACTGTCATTGAGATATAGAATAACAATTACATAACAACTACGTACTCTTATCAAGCTTTTTTTTAAAAAAAACTGATAGAATCTGAGATATAACCTACTAACCTATCCCGATACAACAACCTTATCGGATAACATCTAAAGCCCAATAACACCCCACACATATCGAAAACGAGTAATGTTTATCTGATCATCAGTAGCTTTAATTGGTAATCAATTCATGGATGATCGACAGTTGGAGCTCCTTTTATGCACGTGTGATTTATATAGAGAGTAACCTTGTCAGGGGAATTGGCGTGGTAATACACATGCCAGCTTCCGACAATATTTTAGGACCACTGCTAGCTTTTTCTTGTCCGCCATAGATGGCCTGAACCAAACTGGGACTCGACATCGATATATAACTGAACTTGATCTAAACTCGTACAAGTAATCGATGATGAGAGAGCAAACTGCAAAGCATGCATGTATAAGCACTTAATGCCTATACCGTATGCACGTCGTAGCTACACAGAGTTCAGGTGTGCATTGATTGCTCAAGCACTAACAAAAGATAAGAAACCACTAAGCATTGCAAAATTAAGTATCATTTGGCTAAAAGCATTCCTTGAAGACTGCGAATACTATAACCATGCATTTGTTGCTTTCATGCATGGAAGGTCCTCAAGCTTCTTTGCTTATATAACTATCTATATTTGAATTCAAAATTTCCTCTTTCATGCAAGGGATCCATTAATTATCTGTTCGATAGATGCCTCCTTTGTTTACAAAATGAAGCAAATCCAATTTTACAAGCCAGTACTTAGTAAGTAAAATTTGTTACGACAATCCAAAAGCAGGTTTGGCTTCAAGATATCTTGTTCATTTAAAGGAGCTATAGGTAGCTAGTTTTTGGACATGTCATTATTCCTATAAAAGCAAATTTAATTTCATGTTGCACAATCATGGGGAGGACAACACTCCAATTATAGTCCTTTTGAAAAATTATTCAATAAAAAAAATTAGGTAGGTTTTTGGGTGATTCTATATTTTTTGATAAAAAAATATTAAAAAAATAAAAGAAAATCAATGTTTACTATTTATATACTTTGCGTTCCCCTGTATACGTTCACTTAAATTAACTGTAGATTCAAATTTTTTCATACTGTGCATTTCACTGTATATGTTCATTCAAATCACTGTGGATTTTTTTTCGTACCGTTCGTTAACTGTTTAGCCAAAAAGGTTCAATTTGGTCCTCTAATTTTAGGAACTTTTTTTCGGTACAGAACTTCATTTTTTTTTCATTTTACCATATAAATTTTATCGTTGGTTAATATAGTAGAGCCCACTGTTTTATTGGCTAACGTATTAAGCTCATATAAATTTTGATTTGTTTAATACTAGCTCGGTGATATGGTTTGGTTGCAGTAGGTCCATGTGATACTTATTTATTTGTTTTTAGGGTTAGATAATGTCCTAGGAGAATAAATTCATCGTTTGTAAAAGTTAAAAGAAAAATTCTTTCTTAGAAAAGAAAAATAAAAAATCAATAAATTATAAACTTCTAGTTATGATTATAAAAATATTAGCCTTAATCTCTAACAAGAGAAAAAATAAAATTACTAAGCACGATCTTAATTATTTATAAGGTAATATTTCAACTCTTACATATGTATATATTTAACAATTAATTTTTTGTGTACAAATACCAAATTCACTTCTATAGTATGAAGAAAAAAAAAGCCATTTATGTATGAACTGGAAAATTATAAAAATTTTAATTTACACATAAAGATCTCTAGAGAATTTATTTATTTTTGTTATAAAAAGAAAAAAAAATCCAAGATATTTTTCTTTTGACCAAAAGTAGGTATGGATATCATTAATTTATCGATAATAGTATTTCACAAGAAAAAAAATAACAAAAGTATATATATATACACACACACTAGAGTTGTGGAACCAATCAATAACTCTCACAATGATTCCTAGATGGCTCATAAATTCTCTTATAATTTCTTCTTATTATTGTTGTTTGAATTAGCATTACTTAGTTTATATTTTTTTTATATATAAACATAAGTTAATGAGGCATTCCAACATTAATCAGGCCAGGTAGTTCGCGACTTAGTCATTTGTCCAGTCATCAAGCTACCTAGATACCTCGACTCGCTTGCTTATTTGTCGTGATAATAATAATAATTCAATTGCCATGCTTTATTATATTCTGGCTGCCTTTTTTACATATCATTTAAAAGCATACTGATATTTATATCCTTTTGATTCGAAAAACAAAAAGGTAGAGAGTCATTCACTCGTTTGTGGATTGAGGCAGCCAAGCTATACAATCATAGACCCACAAGAGTTGAAGCAAAGCAGCCCGTTTAGAGCCAAGAATTTGACCCCATTGGCTTGCCAGTCCTTTTCATTTTCAAAATAAATCAATAGACCACTATCCCCAATCTTTTTTTTTTTTTTTTTTTGGCTACCCATTTAAGTAAAATTCACATAAATGGGCAATAGAGAGACACACACACATGGCAACTCCTAGTTGAACTATTATTAGCTAGGATTTAAACACTCCTACCTCTCCTAACCCTCGCTGTCTTGGATTGTATGCAAAGCAATTATAACATGCACATATACCCACCATCTCACTCCTAGTCCTTAACCTCTCTCATTTCAACCAATAGAAACACAAAATATCCCTTAGAGTTTTGACTCCCCTTCTGTGTCTTTACTCGATCATGTTTCCTTAAAGTCGTGTCTCACAGAGACAACAGGGTCAGTTATTGTCTTTCTTTTCTATCTATCCCGCTCTCTGCATGAAACAGAGTGCTCTGCTTTACTTGATATTGTTATAATGAAGTACATAAGAACCAACAGCTTGAAAAGGCTTTTCTCATTGAAAAGACGCAGTCTTGAAGATGTAGTTTTCACCAATGAAGAAGAAAAACACAGTGAAAACTCCAAGGCTGTTCTAGAACATTCTCCAAGACCCTCTTGGAAATGCTTCTCTTTCAAAGAAATATTTGATGCCACCAGTGGCTTTAACCCAGGTTTGCTTCATCTTCACTGCAACCTTTTTAAATTCTACACATGTTTTGCCATTAATTTGTGTTGAATTTGTTTTCTTGGTGTGGTAGAGAATTTGGTCGGGAAAGGAGGCTATGCAGAGGTTTACAAAGGAGTGTTAGGTAATGGAGAGGAGATTGCCATAAAGAGGTTAACAAAAGCTTGTAGGGATGAGAGGAAAGAGAAGGAGTTTTTGACAGAGATTGGGACAATTGGTCATGCCTGCCATCCTAATGTGTTGTCCTTGTTGGGTTGTTGCATTGACAATGGGCTTTATCTCATCTTTCATTTCTCCTCTAGAGGCTCTGTTGCTTCCCTTCTTCACGGTACAGAAATATAAGCTTTGTTTTGTTTGTTCTTTGTTGTCTAAGTAATGATGCTGTTTCCTATCTGAGTTGTGTTAGTTCTTGCAATATTTTTCGATGCGTAATGCTTTGATGTTTTTAATGTAGATGAGAATTTGCCAGTGATGGATTGGAAAACAAGGTACAAGATTGCCGTTGGAACTGCTAGAGGGCTTCATTACTTGCATAAGGGATGTCAAAGAAGGATAGTTCACCGTGACATTAAATCTTCAAATATCCTTCTGACAGCAGATTTTGAACCACTGGTAAGGTATCCATGTATATTATTAGTCCTTTCGTTCTTCGCAAATTTTCCTGATTAGACCAAGGTTGCCTCAAAGAAATTTTAGCTACTAAAATGAGTACGACATTGATGCTTTTTTGTTTTGAATGTTATAGATATCTGATTTCGGATTGGCAAAATGGCTTCCATCTCAATGGACTCACCATTCAATCGCTCCAATTGAAGGAACATTCGGGTAGGGTTTCTAGCACCCAATTTTACTCCTGTGGATCAGGTATGATTCTTGTTGCAGTGTACTTAGATTGAAACTGAAATGTAGCGTATCTTTTATTTTGCAGGCACTTAGCACCTGAGTACTATATGCATGGAATAGTGGATGAAAAAACAGATGTGTTTGCATTTGGAGTCTTTCTACTGGAGATCATTTCTGGCAGGAAACCAGTTGATAGCTCTCACCAAAGCATACACAACTGGGTAAGAAATTAGCCATTTATTTACTCTATAAAATGATTACCGTCTTCATTAGGCAATCCCTTAATTATGTTTATAGACTTAAGTTGAGTGTTTTAATAAATTTAAGTTAAACGGACTTGTGGTTTCTGTCGATTAATTAACAGGCAAAACCAATATTAAGCCAAGGAGAGATTGAAATGCTGGTGGATCCAAGGCTTGGAGGGACCTATGATGTTAGACAGCTGAAAAGACTTGGCTTTGCTGCATCTCTCTGCATCCGGGCATCTTCTACATGGCGTCCTGCCATTAGTGAGGTAGCTGTATATTTGCTATGCTGTACTTTTGGTTGCATCTATATAACAACACGTTAATGATTCTTTTTTCTTTTGTAATGATTTTTAAAAAACCGATAGAATTAATGATGATTTTGGTGTTAATTTTCGAGTCAAAATAAGGAAGTTTCGTTAACAAATTAATGCATTGACATTCCTATGCGGTACAATAGTAATTATACTTTCCTGATTAAAAAGATAATTATACAGTACTAAACTTGTTTTTCCATGTGAAAAAAAAAAATGGAACTGGAGACAAGAAAACGAAAACCCTCTAAACTGATGTTGATAAGGTGGATTATTGCATCATGTTTGTGTTTCGTGTTCATGATTCCAATAGATTACCTTTAGTTGACTGGTTTTCAGAGTCCATATATAGATGTAAGTTTCTGCTATTTAAATCACTATTAAATGTGTTAGATATGGTATCGTAGGGAAGCTGTCACCTTTTCAATATTTTGATTGTTTTCCTGTGACGACCTTGCACATCCTTTTCAGCAATCAAGAAGACTGCAATATGTAAACTTAGATTTGATCCTTTAGGTATAGGTAGCTAACTAGCGGGTTATTTGAGTTTTTTCACGCAATCCCAATAGTCAGAGGATGTTCTATCCTACCTAACCTAAATCTTTAAGCTAAAACACTCATTAAATTACAGATCTCCCATGTGATTAGGAGATGAGAATCAGATTATCAAAATGATGATTGAGAGGGCTGGTCTGCCCTGTTTTTAACTTATTAATGATATTGTTGTACTAAAAATGTCCTGAAGTTACATACATGGCACTAATTCCATTGGCCTGTTTCAAGGTATTGGACAAGAGTGTTTGTTCCACCCTTTCAAATCAATTGCACTGGCAGGATATTGCTGAAGAAAAAAAAAAAATCTTACACACGTCAAGTTGCAAGATATTTTCAAAATTAATTATATAAGTTCTAATACAAACATTTATCAACATGATTAAACTAATGATAAAAACTTCTTATTATTGTGTCTGTGGGCCAATTTTAAACAAGAAATCATATCAAATAGATAACCCTTTTGATGGGCAATTAGTCTTATTAATTATTCTTTTTTTTATAAATGAAATATGTTTAAGAGGGTATATATAATATGCTTTTCAGATAGCATCATTTCTTCTGTCACATGAAATGATGTTAGTTTAGAATTTAAGAGCTAATATTTTAATTATAAAATAAAAAAATCTGATATACCAAATGACGAAGTCTTGTGAGGTTGATAAATTTTGCTGCATACTGGCAGGTATTGGAAGTAATGGTAGAAGAGGAGACGGATAAAGAACGGTGGAAGATGCCCAAGGAAGAAGAGCAAGTAGAACTCTGGGGTTTTGAAGATCTAGAATATGAATGTGACAGTTCCTTCTCAATTTCTCCACAGGATTCAATCTCTACCAGAAGTACTATGACCATTATACATTAGGTGCTCAAGTCCATCCTGACCACCACTTTTGTAGACATGTAAATACAGTATGTATGTTACGAGATGTAATTCAAGTCCGAATCTCTTTTCTTTTTCCTTTTTTTGTAATTAACATTAAAAAACAATTAATCATGCATGAATATAGATCGAACTGTTTACAGGTATCGATACCTTTTTGTAATAAATACTACCTATAACTAGTTTTTCGGCCATGATTATTAATGATTAGACCCGATTTGGGTTTTCACAACTCATCACACCATTGTCGTGACTTTTTGCAAAAATCCCAACTTTCTAACAGGAAAAGGTGGATAAGTACTGCTTATAGATGCTGTTTGGGAGATGTCAACGGAAGGAAGGAAAAAATTGGTTTCCTTCGCTAATAAATCCCTAACCAATAATTTTGTTTTTTTTTTTTAATTTCTTTTTTCATGACTTGAAGTAACTATTATTACGGTCCATTTTTTCATATTTTCTGCGATTGAATTACATGTGCAGAAAACATTTTCTTACTTTTAGGTGACAAAAAAGTGAGATAGTGATTGGAATCGAATCTGAATTCTAAGTCTAAACCATACAACTCAAGCAAACAATTATTGGATAAACATAGGAATTGCTGTAGATAGCTACATATCATAGGAAAGCATCTTGCAATTAATGGAAAGCTTATCAACATACTAGAGTCGCTATATATGGGTATGCAGGATATTAACTCAGCAGTAAAGTTTTGCCCCAACTTACTTTTACCTTGACCTGCCGATGCATAATTGACAATTTCTGATGAAAAGAAAAAAGAAAAATCACCTTTAAACTATTTTTTAATTGAAGTTGGATTTTTTCCAATTCTAATATGTAAATACAATTTCTCAACTACCATTAAAAGCATTTCAAAACCTATAATTCTATCCTTTTTCTGTTCAAAACTTGTTTTTTTTTTAATAAACGCTAAGCAATTTAAGAATATTTTTAAAAGAAATAAATAAGTGTTTTTTTTTTTTAATAAAGTAAAGCATCCAAAAGTTTTAGTATATTTTTAACTATTGAAAAAGTCAAATAATCAATCACATACAAATCATATATAATAAAATTGTTATAATTGATAAAAATTAATAAAAAAACAAACTCATTTTCAAATGAAAAATAATTAAAAAAATGGCTTAAAATTTGAAAAATGATTTGAACCATTTATCCTTCAAATTATTTGAGAAATAGAGTGAACATTAATATTTTAAAACAAAAGCCAATCCTGTTATGAAATCCAGAATTCATTAAATCTCTTATAAATAAAAATAAAGTAGCTTAATGCCCATCTATGTAGCATGCATCCAGTAAATACAAAGAGTTAGTATGCAAAGATAGAAGGTTTTTTTTTTTTTTTTCCTTCCTTAATAATAAGGGTGTTTGTATATAGTTTTTTTTTTTTTAACAACAAAAATATCTTCGGATCAGTTTTGCAAAAATATAAATTTTGAATTGTGAAAAAGTACTTGAGGAAATCAAGTTGGCTTGTAACTCTGTTGAAGCAATGGAAAACCTAACTTTGGACAGTTTAATTAGAAGGTATTAACTCTTCTTCAATGCTCTGGCTTCGCAGCCATGCATTACTTAATGCGTAGAACAACATGGTTCCTAAGATTGAGCTACAAACAATATTGCCGATTCATCACTGGCATGCCAGTAGCTAGGCGTGATGTGGCAATAGTAAAGCTGTACTAGGTGGATCCCATGCCAGAAATGAACTTCAAATTATGAATCACTTTTTATTGGTTCTGGACATTATTGGGTCCTCCTCTCTCCATCATTTTCATTCATCATATATAATATATATATATATATATATATATATGTTTCAAATATTGTAACCCTTTAATTCTGTCCTTGTATATGCTCATGCTATCCTCATAAAAATGGCTTCTATTATTATTATTATCTTTAAATTGGTTTCAAAGTTTGCGTTGCCATTTTATATATGCTGAGTGTTTATTTACACAGAGAAAGAGTGCAAGTGGAGAATTCACAACTGGCAGGACGGCTCCTGAGCCTGACAAGATCATCTCAACTAACTAGAAAACTAGAATAGATACTAAATATATAAAATAAGGAAGGAAGGGATGCACCATGCGTAACAGTTAATGCATTTCAGAATACAGTATAATTAATTGGATAGACAATCATATTAATGATTCTATATAATAAGTTGTTTACACCACCATAAATATGATCAATCTCTGCAAACATAACTTATTTTAGATCATTACATGGCAAAGAAGAAAGAAATGGCAGATGACAAAACAGGTAGAGTTGCTCCTAATGATAGATATAATGGGGGGTCGGCAAATACCAATGCTCCAAATACAACTGCAATGAGACACATGAAAATGTGTTAGTTAAACAGCTGCTCCTCCACACATAACATTTGTGTTCTTGTTTCTGTGTTGTTTATTTGATAGAAGCATCTTAGCCCTTATTTTAATGTTGCTTCAGGATTTGATCAGTGGGGTTAGTGGTTGTTAAACTTAAAAGACCTTGAGGGACTGGTAGACTGGCAGTGCAACGACAGAAAGTAACCAAGGCAGGCGTTGCAATTTGAAGACGAATTATATAATAATATATATAGTGGGCGTTAGGCAAAGGAAAAAAAATATGAAGAGATAAGCACAGGGGATTGTGGTAAGTTTAACAAGTTCTACATGGTTAGAGACTATTGGATTTGGTAGAATCAATCATGAAAGATCCAAATAATTTGAAGGGCTTCAATCAAAGGTGTCAAAGAGAAAGGTCACCCAGTCTCTTGTTTATAACAACGTAATGGAGGTAGGTACTTCTTTACCAAATTTTCATATGTATGGAGAATATTGCACTAATTAATGCATTTTTGGTCGGTCGAATGTGCATCATTCAATAAAAAAAATTTATCCAAATCCATAATGTTCTGTTATGATGTATGTTGTGCAGGTTCTTGTATATATTGTGAACAAAAATGTAAAAATAAAACTAAAAACAGGTCTGCGAAATTTCCAGAACAGTTTAGGACTTTAATTTCTTTAGGGTTGAAAAAATAGTTTCCGATGCCGGGAATCGAACCCGGGTCTCCTGGGTGAAAGCCAGATATCCTAACCGCTGGACGACATCGGATAACTTGACGTTGAGGTCTTTATTTAGTAATATAAAATATTAATAGTTCTTGAAAGATCCGACATCATTCAAATTATGATTAGTTTATTTTATTTTGGATAGAAATGCGCTACGTTCTACTTAATTTAAAATGGGATTTCGAAGACAGTATTGGATTTTTTTATTTTCATCTTTCTTGTTGCTTAATTATTCTTATGTAGGTCAACCATTTGCGGAATATATATATATATATATATTTGGTCCTGGTGATCTTGGACAAATTTTGTAAATGGAATATTATTTTTGGTTTTGATTGGATCTTAAGTACATAATCCATCTATATTTGGATAGAAATATTTATGAAAAAAATTATTTATATAATTTTTTTCCTTAATTTTATTCATTGATATACGGTAGTTGATAGTTAACTCCCACACACAAACATATTAAGTCCAAAAACCTTACTTTAGATTAATTGATTAATCATCTGCCTATGTTAATTAAGAATATTTTTCCCTTAGTTTGATATATGGCTGTTGCTATTTCATATGGCATGATTAATAAGAGGGAGATCAAGAAAGCTTCACTTATTTATTTATTTATATTTTGTAGATTTCAAATCAAGTGCTACCTTGTAACCCCTAATTACTTTTGTTACTTTATGTTGTACTTATTGCATAGCTGAAAAGAGTTTATGGTATCAAAATTTCTTTATACGTATTGATACACGTTCATACAAACCTTTGGAATTGTTGTTAAACTTCTGAAAGTGTCTCTACTTAGAAAAATATTTTTTAAAACAAAAATTAATAGTAAGGCATTTCTTGCATGTCAAAGGTTCCCTGCGGCATAGCGGGTCGTTGTCTCCTTTTTGGCTATTGATTATTGAATGCCAAGTATCAAGTTAGACACACAATCCATCGCAATTTGCAACATCAAGCTGTAGGCATTAATTAGCATTAATTTAGTGTACAAAAGAAGCTAAGCTCGAAAAGCATTCAACTCCTTTCTTCCATTCACAAATTTAAAATCCCCAAGTTTCTTTATGAATCATGGATGCAATGGTTGATGACCTAAAGCTTAAAAAAAAAAAAAAAAAAAAGATAGAAGACTTCTTGTACAATTGTGCCATCTTCACAATGTATAACGAAAACAGAGCCCTACAAATTAATTAAAAAAAAGAAGCTAAAGTAAAATGTTGGTTTACTATTTATTGGTATTCTTCCAACAACTATTTATCTAGACTCCTTTTATTATTTACATATAATCATATGCACTATTCATTTAACCATACATTGATATTTTTATACTTTTCAAAATTTTTAAAAACATTTATTATGAAAGTTTTTGTTATATTATACTTTATTTCTTTTTTGTAAACATTTTTTTCAATCCTCAAACTTTTTTTGTTTCATTTTGATTTCTCTTTTTTATTTCACTTTGGTCCTTGTTTTTTTCTCTGGTTTTTTAATAAAAAAATTCAAGACAAAAAGAAGTTTAGAAAAAAATAATTTATAAAATAAGTTTTAAATTAAGAATCTATTGACTTTGACATTTTTTTTCTTACAAAATTTTTTAATTAAAAATTTATGAAAAATATAAAGAATAATTAGTCAAATATAAAGTTTTGATTAAAAAATTAAAAAATTGATTTAATATAACATAGAGTATGAAACTGAAATTATTTTTTAAAAATAATTTTATATGTTTTGTTTGACTAAAATGTAATACGAAACAAAAAAAAAACTAGTATAAGCGATAATGAATTTGATAGTGAGTACTAACAAGCGACCAAAGTCACATGACTTATGTGGGAAATTATAAAAGCTTAATTAAATGTAAGAAAATGGGTTGTCCATACTGAATTTAGCTCTGGAAGGAAAGAT